TGGCACTCAGAGTACAAAGAGCAAGTGCATTAGAAAACAATTATAATTCCCAAATTTTACTCGATCTGTATTTCGAGTCTTGCACTCATTACTTGTGCCACCAAGAGCCTCATTCCTTCTCTCTCGTTTCTTTTGATGACATTTGGCTGCAGAAAACACAGCACTACAGCATTCTCAGTTCTACAGATACGTAGGTTGCCTTTTATATTTCGGGATTTGACAACCCTAGTGTTGCAATCTGGCAACTCACAACTTTATCGTCAAGTTTGATATTTTCATTATGTTATATTATGTTACACATACTTAAAACGTTTTGACATACGAGCGCTCTTTATTTTGTTTACCAAGCTCCATCAAGGGCCAGTGTTTATATAAAAAGCTCGTGCCGATTGGTTGAGAGGAATGTTAAAAAATACGATAACGGTGACGGAACACTCTTCAAAAAGTCCATATTTTAGCCTCCGTTGAACCGTGAAGGTTTTCAACAAAAAGTGTGGCAATGCAGTAACCCCGGAGATATTGGAGCCCGTTCCAATTGGAACTTTTGTTGCTCACTCTCTTTCAAGATGACCAAAATAGCTTTTCCAAATGTTGAAGATTACTTCAACTGATAGTTAGATACTTTTAAATAGGGACCGTGTACCTTCCTGCGAATTAAAACCGTTAAGTTTATTTGAACTTAAAGACAGATAACTATTCGCTGGCAAGTCAACAATAAGAGCAAGATTTCCACGCCAGCCGACTCTATATTATCAGTCGGTCTACTTATCTGGCCAAGGACTGTTAACTGTGTTCGGATCGGCAAGCAGTAAGTAATCAGTTTCAGTATTCGGACTTGTAAAGGTAGGACGATAGCCATAGTTAAAATGCTAAATCAAAATCCTTAATCCTTCTCATTCATCCTTTTTTATCGCTGTGAGAATAGTGTGCAGAATCAATTCCACTTGCTTTCACTTACTCTTGACATATTATACTATAACAACGCTCGATTGTAGCAACACTTCGAGTTCCTTCTCTCATATGATTGACCTATATTGCCATTTCAGCAACCTTCAGCACAAACGTTATTTAGAGTATTTCCACAGAAAAACACGATATACTGCTAAAAACCCAAAAATTATATCATGTGGCTTTATTTGTCCGCAAACAGTTCTGTGTTAACTAAAAATAGACGCCCACGACACACCTCAATAAAGTACCGACAAAATTAATAAAAGTAAATAAACGGAATAACAATTTCACCGCCTATCAAATACAAGTGCATATGCAAGAATTCGGCGGAAAAGAAATTACACAAAAACCCGCAAACNGTTTGTTGTAATATAATTTGCTTCGCACACAATTCCTACGCGCGTGTCTGGTGTAGGTGGCGCTGATTTGCGTATTAATACACAAACACACTTCTAGAAATATATTTGTATGTATGACTATCTTCTCAATTCAATTTTGAAAAGGTCAAGACTGGATCCACATTATTTGGTTCATTTGCATACGAATGCGGGATGAAGTGAATAAGCGACTGAAAAAACCAATGAAAGACAAACATTGTATATGACTAGCAATTGAGGTCATATTTTGAAGGTCTTTACAAGAAACAGAGCACCGACAAGATAAGTGTTGACCTTTGTTGGAGGAAGCAGATGTGGGTATGAAAAACAATACAAAATAATATTTGGTAGCACGCTGTTATTGGTGTTGGATGGAAGCCAAAGAAAATAAAATAAAATAAATTTTAATGAAATAGAATAAATAGTTTCAAATACAACAATCTAAAAAAGTCAATTATAAAATATAATAATATGATATGAAATTAAACAATAATATAAATAATAACAAAATTACATTGAATAAAAATAAGTGAAAAAAAAAAATGTTTAAATAAAAATCAAGAAAAAACTTTAACTTCGGTTGTACAAATACAAAAGGCTCCTTAGAAGAACTTGATTCTGATCGTACAGCTTGTATGACAGCAATATACTATAGTGATTCGATCTGAACTATTTCTTCGAAGTTTCCATTATTGCCTTAGATAATGATCCATCCCAAATTTCGTGAAGATATCTCGTCAAATGAAACTTGATAATATTGATAATATTACCTGACTAAAATCGTGTATAATTATATTGTTTGTTCGGTTTTTGTTTTATTATATAAATATTTATATCAAAACTTGCTAAAAAATAAAAACGTAAATTTACAGCGCTCTTTTATTTCAACCCGGAGATGCTCCGACTGGTCGCAGCGCTACATTTCCAAATATGTTTGTATTATGGACTAATTTGTTGAAAATGATTACAATTTTGACAGTTGTTCAAAAGCAAGATGGGATGTTATTTATGCTTTATCCTCTTATCAACAATTTCTCACAGAACGCAAAAGGAAAACGAGAACTACATTAAATGCCTTGCTGACAAAAATTCAGAAAATTGGAAACACAAAATTGACTGAATGATCTATTTGACCTAGAATTTTATTACCTTTTACAAATATATGCGTTTATATTGTTCTTATTATTGTAAGAAATAAATGTTTGGTTTTATTTTTATTCAAAAATAAAAAAATATTATAATTAAATTTAATACTTAACCAATTTTATATTTATCATTCCCCAAACCAATTATTAACATGTTAAGATAGTTTCGTTTAGCACTGTTTCGCATTACGCTCCATTGTGATGGATTGCATTCCACAAGTATGCGTTAATACAAGTATGTATATGTATAATATTAAGTACTAAAAATGTTTATAAAAAACAATATAAATTGTATTCTATATATAATATTAATTTATAAACTAAAAATATACTAATATACTTAATTGAACGTTTTCCAACTTAGGCATGCGGTTACCGATGAATGCTTCGCGTGTGAGCTTTAATGGAAATTCAATTGAAGTGGCAATGATTAATTAATCACTATAATTCCGAGCGATTTTGCCTCCCATAGAGGCAAAGCCCATCAATACTATTACAACTAATTGATGGCAAAGTGCAAAAGCTTAGCAAATTATTTCATTTTATTTATAAGAAATTAATCCAAATGGCAAACTATGAGGTAAACAAATCAAACATAACCGCGTGAGACTATCGCTTTTAACACACCCCTCGTTTGCAATATTTCGCACACACATATTTGTAAATAAACAAATGTGTATGCAAGTCGGCACCTTCAATCGCACATATTTACTCTTCTCTAATTCCACATTGCACTACATTCTAAACAAAAGCGAGCGCGAGTTTTATTTCAAAGTTTATTTTTCTTAATCTTCCAAAACGACGACAGTGAAAAAAGCGCGAAATACAGTAGAAAGATAAGCAAATGCAACAAAAATTAACAAATATGCTTAATTATATATAAAGTAGAATCTCATTACTGAGAAAACAGATTTATATATATTTATATATATCAGCTTGTTACTTGAATTTATTTATTTTGCCAGTTCGATTTCATTGTAATATAATACTTAAACCTGCTGGTTCTTTTAGATAATCAAAAATGATATGAATGAGATAACTCGATTAATAATTATTACAGTGGTCTTAAATGCGAATAAAAGAAGTTTTTTTTTACTACAATAAATGGCACTCGAGTCTTGCACTCATTACTTGTGCCACCAAGAGCCTCATTCCTTCTCTCTCATTTCTTTTGATGACATTTGTCTGCAGAAAACACAGCACTACAGCATTCTCAGTTCTACAGATACGTAGGTTGCCTTTTATATTTCGGGATTTGACAACCCTAGTGTTGCAATCTGGCAACTCACAACTTTATCGTCAAGTTTGATATTTTCATTATGTTATATTATGTTACACATACTTAAAACGTTTTGACATACGAGCGCTATTTGTTTTGTTAACCAAGCTCCATCAAGGACCAGTGTTTATATAAAAAGTTCGTGCCGATTGATTGAGAGGAATGTTAAAAAATACGATAACGGTGACGGAACACTCTTCAAAAAGTCCATATTTTAGCCTCCGTTGAACCGTAAAGGTTTTCAACAAAAAGTGTGGCAATGCCCGAAGAAATTGGAGCCCGTTCCAATTGGAACTTTTGTTGCTCACTCTCTTTCAAGATGACCAAAATAACTTTTCTATATGTTGAAGATTACTTCAACTGATAGTGAGATAGTTTTAAATAGGGACCGTGTACCTTCCTGCGAATTAAAACCGTTAAGTTTCTTTGAACTTAAAGACAGATAACGGTTCGCTGGCAAGTCAGCAATAACAGCATGATTTCCATGCCAGCCTACTCTATATTATCAGTCGGTTTACTTATCTGGCCAAGAACTGTTAACTGTGTTCGGATCGGCATGCAGTAAGTAATCAGTTTCAATATTTGGACTTGTAAAGGTAGGACGATAGCCATAGTTAAAATGCTAAATGAAAATCCTTAATCCTTCTCATGCATTCTTCTTTATCGCTGTGAGAATAGTGTGCAGAACCAATTCCACTTGCTTTCACTTACTCTTTACATATTATACTATAACAACGCTCGATTGTAGTAACACTTCGAGTTCCTTCTCTCATACGATTGACCTATATTGCCATTTCAGCAACCTTCAGCACAAACGTTATTTAGAGTATTTCCACAGAAAAACACGATATACTGCTAAAAACCCAAAAATTATATCATGTGGCTTTATTTGTCCGCAAACAGTTCTGTGTTAACTAAAAATAGACGCCCACGACACACCTCAATAAAGTACCGACAAAATTAATAAAAGTAAATAAACGGAATAACAATTTCACCGCCTATCAAATACAAGTGCATATGCAAGAATTCGGCGGAAAAGAAATTACACAAAAACCAGCAAACTGTTTCATCAGCTAAATAAACAGCTGAGGCATACACAAACAACAAATTTTGTAAGCAATTACGTTAACAGCCGATCGAATAAAGGTGGAAATAAAAAACGACAAAAAAGCAGGAAGGAAACTCGACGATTGAAATCTCAGCAAAAAACATGAAAATTAAATTCACATTAGTCGGAAACATATGTGCTGAATAGTTTGTTTGCAAATATTTGTTTATAATTAATAAGCTACAACTTTTATGCAAATATTAGCGTATGGTTTTAATTGGTAATACTTAACGACTGAGTTAGATGTGGATTGTACATGTGGATTCCATTTTTAAACTTTTACACATAGTAGTTTGCGTCAGTATATCGTTATGCGCTGTCCACGCGAGGTTTTTCGATAATCATTCACTTCCGTTTCCTCGAAAGAAATAACCTCACTAAAGTTTTCCATACACGAGCTTTAATTCGATCGGTCAGTTTTTATGGCAGCTATATGCTATAGTCGAACAATTTCTTTGGAGATACTTGTAGTTGCGTTGTTTTGGACAATAATCCATGACAAATTTCGTACGGATATCTTGTCAAATCGAAAAGTTGCTCATACAAGGGCCTGATTTGGGTTGGCCACTTTGTTTGGCAGCTATATGAGATAGTGGTCGGCTATCGGCGGTTTCAGCAAAAGAGAAATGGACGTGTTCAAAATTTCACACTGATATCTTGAAAGCTGAGGTATTAGTTCGTATATATACAGACAGACACGGGCATGGCTAAATCGACTCAGCTCGTCACGCTGGTCTTTTTAAAATATATGCTATATTTAAAAGCGTCTTCGACGTTTCCTTCTGGCTGTTACAAATAACATAATATACTTTGTTTATAGTATAAACAAGGTAAGAGCTGCGGTATTTGGGTTAAAAATTCTTTGGTTTCCCCGAGATATTGCGTACTTGATTTTCGAAAGGAATGTCGTTTCTTTTATAGGTTGCAGGTAGGCACCGGTAACAAAGTTGATCAAGGTAATTTAACTACGTTTGGCTTGATCCTTCGGCTTATCGCTTTTATCTTATTTTTTGGGCTATTCCCTCCTTACTTCGTAGGCGACTACCTGTGCGTGATTGGGTAATGTAATCCTTTAATCTGGACTTGTAGCTTTTTTTCTTGGTTATCTGGGAAACAATTTTGTTCGCTTAAATTTTTATGTATCAACATTAAACATTTTACAGACAATATCTTTAGATTTTGCGAAAATTATTTTTAGAGTTACCTTATGAATTATGTATTATATAATTTTAGTAAAAGGATATAATTGTGATGAAAGACCATTTACAAATCGGAGCATATTTAACCTTAATCTAATCATTCTAACTATGCTAAATAAAACTTTCAATTTAAGAAACTTAATAGATTTATATTTTTCAGAAAACAATTTTAACGATAATAACAACTTTAAATATGATATTGTTTTTATTTCTTACAACTAAATGATCAATATAATATATTATATATATATATAACCTAATTATGCTAGGCCAATGTATTTACGTACTTTCCACATCATCAGCTCCAAACATGCTTGCGTATCTTCCAAACTATCGTGACCCTCGTTGCCACATTGAATTTCACGCTTTAAATATTTTTTAGTCAGATTCTTAAGCGAACGGCGATATGGAAAACCTAATGGGTGCAGGAACTCGTAAGCTGTGTCGACGACTTTTTTATGTACAATCCGCAGCACACGCAAATCATTTTCCAAGCCATGACCAATGAGTATAGTATCGGCATCGATCAGTTGCAGCAAATCCCCTTGAACTTCTTTTAAAGTCTTCAAACTCTTGTTTTGAGTTTTACATAGGTCACTTGCGGTTACACCCGAGAATCGCGTATTGTAATCTACAATTTTACTTGTAGGCCGTACAAAATGGTGATACACCACTTTACCATCGTAACCAACAATTGTTACCTTGGTCACTTCGAGTCCATGCCCAGTGTAACACATTTCACAATCTAACGCATACACTTTGAATGTAGCAGGCGTTTTACTAGAGCGTGGAAGTGTGTGTACGAAATCATTGTACGGCCCATTTATGCCACTGACAACACCGGTCCATACGTGTTGTGGGTAATGTTCACAACCTTCCGAATCCTTAGAACCCGAACAGCAGGTGTATTGTGTGGTATAACCACCTTCGCTATATGTACCGTTTAGCTTACCCCGGTGAAAGGTGCAGCTTTCATGGCTTAAATATTCACCGGAAACGTTAATGTAGAACGAACGCACACATCGTGCGCAAATTTTCTTTGTTTCTCCGAATACATCTTCTTCACCTTCACTTATTTCAGTAGAATCGCAGTCCATTGCTGTTAAACTGCTATTTCCAGATTCCGAGCTCCTTGAAGGTGTACTGCTACTGCTATCCGATTCGCTTGAGTTGTTCTCTCGTAAGCCAAACTGATGAGGTATATACTTAAAAATTTCGATGCAATCTCTGTGAGTGCTGCTCTCCGTTGGGTAACCATAGAGACGTAATAAACCCGGTTCCATAATATACCGATGTAAATGTTTAACAAACTCGGCCTCCGACAAATTAAGCTTGGCAAACTGCAATAAAGGTGTGACGACATCCTTTTTAATATCATCGATTTTATCAGATTGGACTTCTAATTTAAGTAACTGGTTGCTTAGCAAGTTGTCCTCTTCAAGCTGTTCTAGTAACTGTTGTTGTTGCTTCAGTTTGTGCTCTTGTTTTCTTTGTAATTCCTGTTGATGCTGTTTTTTCTCTCGTTGTTGTTGCTTTCTCAATTCGCGTTGTTGTTTCAACGATTCTTGACGTTTCTTGTTCTGCAGAAACTTTTTATCTTTAAGTTCTAGTTGCTGTTTGAGCTGTTGATGCTCTAGTTTTTTATGCTTCCTTTCCTTTTTCTCAAACTTTTGTTTCATTTTTTGATCTTTCTTCAGCTCTGCTTGTCTACTCTCTTTCAGCTCTATCAGCTGATGCAGTTGCTTCAGTGGCAATCGTTTCTGCCGACGATTTACCTTAACAAAATTAAAGGCGCGATTATCCAAGGTTTTTGGTCCAAGATCACAGAATGTGATCAGAAGTACTGTAAAAGTAAAAAACGCAGTTGTTAGTTTAAAGATACGAAATTTTATTCGTACCAGTGTTAAGTCATGGAGAGCAGTTATGTCAACAGCTCGTGTTTTCCTTAACAATGTCTTACTTACCTGCTGCACGTAGCAGTGGTCTGATGATATAGGTGAATAGAGGTCTAATGTCGTGAATGATCTGATTGAGATAGACTGACTGCAGTTGTCGTTGACTCATTTTTTAAACCCGATAATTAAATTTCTATTATCTAAAGAAGTGTGTAGCGTTCGAAGTCTTATCGAAACTATGCTAAGAAAAGGATAACAGCCACTTATATACTCTGTTAAAAAATCTTTTTTATCAGTCAGGTAGAAATTGTTTATTAACTTCGTTGGTGCAATCTCTTGGCCCATCGATTATTCGACTTTTAGGTACCTACCAGGCAGGTACTCTCACAAACGATAATTTACCTGAGGCTCGACTTCATGAAGTGCTAAACTAAACAATACAAACTAATTATCAAGTTAATATATATGAATCACACCTTAATACTTTGATTATGTATTTTCTAAAAACTACTTAACATTAAATCGATGGCTTTCTTTTCTCCATGCAAATCTCAAAAAATTATGTACCAAGTGTTTGTAATGCTAAATAGTCTTCTATACTGAACAGGGTATTTTAAGTTTTCCAGGAAGTTGGTAATATCCAGAAGGAAATGTCGGAAATCCTATAAAATATATATAAATGATCAGCATGACAAGCTGAGTCGATTTAGCCATTCTCGACTGGGTAACCATGGCACCGCAAAAGTTTTAGTTCGATTATGTGACGTCGTAAATGCTTGGCAAACTCAGCTTCCGACAAACTGGAATTGAACTGCACAATATCATTTTTTTGTATTTCACTGTCATCACTTTAACCCGTCCTTTCGAACTCTACTTCCTGCTTCAGCTTACGTGTCTCTTGCCTCAACAACTCTCAGTTTCTCTCTTTTTAAATCGTCTGGTTTTGGTGTCGGTTTGTTGAATTCTTTTTGTTGTTTTCTTAATTCTCGCGTACAATTTAGTAATAACTCCTTGATTCTCAACTTTTCTTCTAGTTGACGCCTTTGTAATGACTCCTTGGATTTCAGTTCCTCTTCGAGTTGTCGCTGCTGCAGTAATCTCTTCTTTCTAAGCTCTTCGTTTGAATTTTCGTTCCTCTTCAATTTTTTTTTTGCAATGAGTGCTTCGCCCTAACCTCCTCCACCAGGTGATGATTTTGTAAAGAATCTATAAGCTCAATTTGCAATACTTGCGTTTGCAAAGACATTTTTTACTGCTTCTTTTCATCCTACCTCGGGATCTCTCAGATTTTCCTCCTCTTCGGTTTTTTTAAAAGCTTAGTTTTAGTGTGGTTTCTCTTGTTTTTGGGAATTATATTCCTTTTGCATCAATGCTGCACGCTGCCTGTACTGTAAACGGTTTCTATACCTCGGACCAGCTCTCCAAAACGTTTGTTGCATGAAAGCTTTAGATTCCAATTGGCTTTGTGAAATGGAAGAAAATTATAAAGATTTCATAAGTCAAATTTGTGAGAAATAAGCTTAAGCACTAAGGTTTAAAACTAAAATTTTGTTAGTTTTATTAGATCTACTTGTCAGGATGCGACGAAGCAGTCTCTCAGCTTCATCATATCTGGAGATTCTTTACTCAACTGCGCAGGTATAATTAGCGAGGTCCTTTGAACTCCGCAAAAAGGTCAAAATACATTTCTAAGAAATTTTCGAGGTCAAGGTAAACGAGGTACGTTTTTGTTAATTCCGATGTTTAGATTAGTATACTCGTATATAGAGCGATAACGCTCTTGTTTTGGATGATCATTTATATACATACTTGTATATGAATATTATTAGATAAAAAGGTTTTCGAGAATAAGTTTCTACTGCTTCAATCAGTTGGTCATTTAAACAATCGTATGTGTTCTATTACCAACTCACAAAAATTTCAGTGCAAAACAATTTTTGAATCAATCGGAAAACCCCCTTACACTATCAATAGAATGCAACAGGTAACACAAAACAAAATCTCATCAAAACAAAGTTTTAAACTTCTGATACTTAAAAAATTAAACAGATCAAAAAATGCGAATGCAGGTAGTCGACTGCAGATAGAACAAAAGCATTTATTTGCATTAGTTTGAAGAGTTTAACCTTGACGGAATCGAATATATAGCAGATTGTTGGAAACTAGTGAAAATATTTTAAGAACTTTAAGTTTTGGTCGATAAAAAGTGACAGATTACAGGGAAAACTGAACGCCATTGTTTCACAGCCAAATACAAAAAATCAAACTTTTTTCCAATCATAATCAGGTAGCCGACCACGGCGAAGTAAGGAAAAATCGAAAAATTAAATAAACATGAGAAGCCGAACGTAGATAAATTACCTCAATCAACTTCGTCACCTGTGCGTCCAAGCATCGTGAGCCAAGTGACTGAGAATCACCTATAAAAGAAGCGAGAATCCTTTCGAAACTCTAGTATCGTATACTTTGGTAGCATAGCATTCTTCTAAAGCAAATTAAAATTAAAACTATATAAAATCTGCTACTAATAACTCCATCGAGGAATAAATTTATATAAAAACTGTTGTTTCCCAAAACACAAATACAATATTTAAGAAACATTAAACAATTTCATAACTAAAACTTTAAAACATGGATATTTTCGAGACACTTTTAATGAACCACTTGAGGCAGTCCAAAAAGTGGATTGAAAATAAACAGCCATTACAAATCTTTTGGAAACCTGATCTAGTTGACTGGATTCAAGAAGAGCAGGCATCTTTGTCCCTAAAGCAACAACGGGTTCTCTTAAAGCTAAAACAAGAATAATTTAAATTGAAAGCAAATGAGCTAATACTTCAACAAGAAGAAATTACGAAACAAATTGAAGAGTTATTGAAACAACAAGCGAAACTCGATCAAGAAGAAGAAGAACTTAGGAAACAGGAAGAGTAAGAAAAGCTTTAAGAAAAGGAAATGGAGCAAAAAGTTGCACAACTATAAGAAGATTTCGAACATAAAAAGATCGGAATCTATAATAATGTGATACTACCAAAAACTCTAACGCCATTGGTTCAGTATAAAAAACTCAATTTATCAGAAGTCAAGTTCGCAAAACGTTATCTATCCTGTGCGAGGTGACGCCAGGTGCAGACTGGTTGCTATGCACTTGATCCTTCGATTGGATGCGTGGGCGCTCTGGCTTCCATTGCCTACATATGGGTCTCAAATCAAAAAAGCTTTTCGCTGGGACACCATCTTCATTGCGAACGACATAGTCTCACCAGCGCATTCGGTGAATTTTTATGCGCCTAACTATCTATATCCATTTTGCCATAGAGCTCATAAGGTTCGTGGTTCCATCTTCTCTGATATTAAACGCTTACTCGGACGGCTCCAACGACCTTGCGGCGAATAGTTCTCTCGAATATTCCGAGTAAAGTGATTTTGCATTACCAACTGAAGCCCTATTCATAATATTTTCTAAATTTGGTCTATTTGTTTCTAAACTTGAACAATTCACTCGCATTTATGTATACTTCTTAAGTATATAATATATTACAGAAACTCTTTTCGTGCTGCTGAAAAAGTGTTTATATTTCAAGGATCTTGGTTATATACAAAGTAAACTAGAAATTTCTTAAATTTTTATCTATGAGTGGGAAGTCGAAAACCTGATTGCCGAAAATGTTGTAGTTTTTGAGCAGAGAAATATGTTACATATTATATACTTGTATACCCAAGCCTCTGCTTCTGTTTGTGGTACAAGCCTACAACCATTAATTGAACCGAAGTGATGTGATTTGAGTGTCCCATATAACCTGTTCAGGGTAAAATAAACTTCCAAAAATCCAGTTTCACAGCTTTTGATTCAATTAATTCTGTTTTTATTTAATAGGAAACTCATAGACCTACATTACCCAACTTATTTGTCTTTTCAATTTCATTTTCAATACCAACTTTTCCTACAAAAATAATAATATTGTATGTAACATAATAAAAATTCAGAATTTTTTTTAATATGTTTATTAAATTTTGATGTTTTAGATATTCAAAGTAATGCACTTCTCACTTAAGAATCTTAATCTTTCTAAATACAATCTTAAACATAAATTATAAACAAGTAAAAAATTGGTTCTAACAACAAAGACTAGAGAAAAAATTCAACAATCGGCCCTAAGCGATACACAATTAATAAGGAACAGCTTCTATATGATTGCACATGAGCATCTCTCACATTCATTAATACCAACGTTCGAGTAAGCCCAAATATAATATTTTAAATCAATCGTAACCAAATACAGACACGAAACGAAACTTTTGGAAATTTTTTTGAACTGTGATGGAGTAGTTTTAGAAGGAGGATGGAAGGAAAAAGTCCATGGTAAGACACCTTTGGAATGTGAAGTGACATGACGCAGAGCATAGAATAGCGAAGCATGAAATGCTCTCAGGACTATAAGAATTCAACGTAGATAATGCTTCGTTAGGAAGAGCACGCCACCACAGCGTTGTTACAAGGGAGTACCAAACGTACTCCTAGAGTACTCCTAGCTATTACAATCGAGGTACACTTTTCAGCAATTCTGCTTGTCAGTGGCCACCTTCACAACATCAGTTCCAAACACGCGCGAGCATCCTCAAACTATCGTGACTCTGGCCATCTAATTGAATCTTACGTTTCAAATATGTTTTCGGCAGATGCTTTAAGCGAGTGTCGATACGGAAAACCGTTGTAATGTGGAAATACTATTGAAGTATCGATAACTGTCTTGTGAACAATGTGTAGCACTCTTAAATCATTTTCCAAACCATGACCGATAAGTATAGTGTTGGCATCGATTATCTGAAGCAAATCACGTTGCACTCGCCGAGTCCCTTAACTCGCTATTCGATTTGGATACATCTCTTTTAGTTCAGAGAAACGCGAATTGTTGTCGATAATTTCAGCAATAGGACGCACAAAGTGCTCATAGACTAATTGTCCATCAAAGCCAATCACGGTAATTTGGTCAATGCCAGTCCACATCCACTATAGGCATTTCACAGTCCAATGCGTACACCTTGGGCTCGTCGGTAAGCTTGCGCGTGTGCACGAAATCGCCATCGGTCCATTAATGCCGGAAACAACGCCGGTCCACACGTGCAAAGGATTAGTCGCACAACCACTGATTCTCTGGAGCCAGACACAAGTGTATTGTATATTGTATTTGTTATTCCGAGTATTTACTTTATACAGTTTACCCCAATGGAAAGTGCATTTTTCTCGAGTTACATATACGCCAGAGCTTGTGACACGAAAAGGACGTTCACAGCGTACGCATTGCTTAGGCATTGCATCGTTATTCGGCACGAGATGTCGCACCAACTCAGCTGGGTTCACAATGTCGTCAGTGTTAGACGCATTCGGCTTGTTAGTACTCTTTGCATAGAAAGGTGTTGCTAATTTTTTGTAGATTACAATTTTACCGCTGTACACAGTGCTTTCGACGGGATAGCCGTAGATGGGCAATAGATGCGGTGGAATGATATAACTACGTAGATTTGCCACTAACTCCGACTGTGAAATCTTGAGCCAATGGTGATCACCCAGCGGTGTATTTGCGGCAGCATGATGTGCGGTATTTCGTACCACCTGAGGTTTCTTCCCGTAGTATATTTTAGTCGGCTGTTTCTGTGGTTTTTTCTCGTGTCTTTTATCACCGGTCTTTTGCAAATAATGCTGTGCAATTTTGTGTTGCAGTTTCCTCTGTTCTTTCACTATTTGTGACATTTGTAGTGAGATGCATCGGTTTTGCTTTGGCAGAGTTGGTTGCTCTTGTTTCCCAACCATTTGTGGTATATTTCCAATAGGGTTGTAGTAGTTTCGGTTAGCATTCTGGTGATGCTGATCCGAGTGTCTTCTCCGTATCTCACCGGATTGATGCATTTGTTGTGGCATAATGAAATTCTCTGGAAAAATAATTCAGGTGTATGTTTACAATTAGTGAGGGACCTTATGTAGCAGAATACAGGAGTTGAAATGTAGCAGTAGTAGTAAATAATTATTAGCCTAAATGTAGGCTTTATTGTGATAATTTGCCTAACAAGATTTCTTGTCGAATTATCGAAGTCACACACTTTTTTCATTATTTTGATTTTATTTAACAATTTTGTTAAGAATTTTATGTTTCAAAACTATTATCGTTATTTCTAGTTCCAAGCTTGAGCTAATATTTTAGACGGAATTCCAAGAAGCATATTTGGTTTTAATTATTAAAAAATATAATTCCTCTCAGATTTAATAGTTTGCTGAATTTTTTTAAGGCGAGGTTTAAGGAATGCACTACAGATAAAAAAAAAAAATTTTTATTATTTATACTTACGAGTTATGTGATAAAAATAAATTTGATGTAATGCTACTAATGACTTTCTATTTTTAACGAGTTTGTGTCCAATAAATACTATCTTTTGTAGAAAAACATGCGCTATTTTGTTGTTGATCGTCCAAAGACTCAAGACTACGAGAAAAACTCCGATGTATATTCGGTCAATACGAAATAGTTTTTAAATAATATCCTGAAAAATTCTGGTTCTTATACACATTTTCGGTAGTCCCACCTTCAGAGTCGCAGCTTAGCAGGTAGCATAATTGTGGTTACCTGTGCTAACCGATATTCTTCTACCCGTTCTTTTGTGGTATATTCCTCTCTCCGTCGCACTTACAATCAATGTGGATACCTTTAGACACGGAAGATAGTTGATTATGTAGAAAGAGAAACGCTACCTATTTTTTAACTTCTTTCTAAAATTTTAGTTATCAATACTAAATGAAAAGTTTTATATTTTTAATTAATTCTAGATTCAAAAAAGGCGTGTTTTGGACTTTTATGCAAGTTGTTTATACAAATAACTAAATCGTTTTGTGTATTGAGAATCTTGTTTATAAAAGTAATTATTTTTCTTTAACTGAAAAATACATTTTATCACATATGTAGGGTAACGGGTTTGGATAATTCAATACATAATTTTAAAAACAAGAGAATTTTTTTTTTTTTAATTTTGTCCAAGACATCAACGTGAAAACCAAACTTATGAAGAACGTAGTGTTTTTATATTAGAGGAAGGCATATAAATAAGCCGATTTCACGAATCTTTATAGAAATTGTATTTATTGAAGTTACTGACTACTAGGACCAAGGTATTTAAGGAAAATACTTTTTTTTCTATGGAATTAACAGACAACTTAACTTTTGGCACGAAGTATGTAACACCCCGAAGTAAACGTCGGAAATCCTATAAAATATATATAATATACTTGAATTGTATATATAAATTATTAGCGTGATAAAATCAGCTGAGTCGATTCAGCCATGGATGTTTGTCGGAATCGCCGATATCAGATAAAAATATTTATAACTTTTATACAAACTGAACGATCAAAATCTATTCCTTGTTTGGAAAACTGTTTTATTTGACAAAATCAAAATTAAGTTCTTATTTGGAAACTTTTTATTTGTGAAGGGTATTCTAACTTCTATAAAATTGTCTCTCTCGCCTTTAATCCTTGCAAACTGTGAGCGCCACCACTTGGCCCTTCTTTAAAAGTTTTTTTTTTACAAATTCAAAGCAAAAATATTGATAATATTCTACTAAAAACTAAAACCCTTTTATGGTTTTTATGGCATCTTATAATTAATTCTGCTTTTTAATTATTATTTAATCGTTGTGTTGATGCCGGAATTAACTCATGACATAAATTAACTAAAATATCTTGCAACGATTATGAATAGCATCTACAAAATATAATAAATAAATTCAATATTTGTTAGAAACTAATGAAAAACTTTAGGAAGTTGCCATTTTTTGTATTCGATAAAAACGATGACGGATTACAAGTAATTACAACATTGTTTCACAGATAAACAATAGCTTAGCTAAGTGTGTTAGAAGAAAGGATTACGATTAGCTATATTCGATATCTCGTCTCCTGCAATCGTAGACGTAAAAAATTGATGATAACTATTTTCAACGTGATCGCATTAGCAGACCAGCCATTAAAGGTGCGCAAAATGGCTGAGACAATAGGTAAAAGTCTCTGAGTATCATATCTTGCATATTGCGCTTCCTTACTTCATACAACAACCGAACCGTGAGCAGGGTTTGACGCTGTTCTTGCTCACGAAACATGGAATCGACCATAACATCAGAGAACAAGGGACAGTCGAAACAGTAGACTACACAAGACGAGCTTTTGCCGATAAAGTCTAAGACTTTACTATCGTTAAAGGTGATGACCATCATTTTTTGAAATTCAAACGACCAAAAATTGCTCAGAATTCAACATTCAAAGGACATCATTAAAGAGGCAAAAAAAGACCAGAACTTCCTTTACATGACTGTGACTGGTAACGAAACGTGGTGTTTTCAATATGATCCCGAAACGAAACGCCAGAGTGCTGAATGGAAGGCACCGGACGAGCCGAAACACAAAAAATCGCGCCTGGAGAAGTCAAAAGTGAAGACAATGCTAATTTGTTTTTATGATTCCAAGGGTATTGTCCACAAAGAAAACGTTAATGCGGTATTCTACTTTGGAATTTTGAAGCGTTTGGTACGCCGTATTCGACGTGTTTGGCCCGAATATCGCGAGGATATAAGTTGGCGTTTGTTGCACGATAATGCGCCGTCTTATCGATCGACGCTTGTGGCCGATTATTTGACCAAAAATGACATTTTAACAATCCACCACTCCCCGTATTCACCTGATATGGCGCCGTGCGACTTCTACCTTTTCGGAAAAATGCATTTGCCGATGAAAGGAAAGCGTTATGCAGACGTGGAGGCCATTCAAAAGGCTTGCACAGGCATACTGGCGGCCATACCGGGCAACGAGCTAAAACACTCGTTCGACATGCTTTTGGACCGTGCAAAAAGCTGTATTAAAGCAGAAGGAGACTATTTTGAATAAAATTAATAAATTTTCCCGATAAAACCATTTGTTCTAACTTTTTTTTAAAAGTTCTGTTTACTTTGGAAAGCACCTTGTATCCTCGGTGCGGCCGAAATTAACAGGTTTTCTTGCTTTTTTTTTAAATGTTGAATCAATTAATTCTGTTGTACATCGTTTTCGTTTACTAGGGATTTCAAAGACTTAAAACACTTTAACTTGTTTGTCTTTTTAATTATATTTTAAATTTAAGTTTTTTTTTTAATTCACATTTATGTGTTAAATAATCTATGTATTACACATCTCCCTTTGAGAATATTTCCTAACCGAATGCAGACAAGAGACGAAACTTTCGCAATTTTTTTGGACTGTGGTGGAGTGACATTTGAAGAAGGACGGAAGGCAAAGTTGCATTTTAAGATACTTTTGGAATGTGTAGTGACATGACGCAGCAGCATCGATTAACGAAGAATGAAATGATCTTAGGGCTTTAAGAAATTCAACGCTTTGTTTGGAAGAGCCGCGCCAGCATAGCGTTGCTACAAGGGACCATTAAACAGACGTAGCCTAATTCTAGCTGTTACAATCGAGCTACACTTTTCTGCCCTTCTGTTTGTCGGTGGCTACCTTCCACAACATCAGTTCCAAACACGCGCGAGCATCCTCCAAACTATCGTGACTCTGGCCATCTAATTGAATGTTACGTTTCAAATACGTTTTCGTCAGATGCTTAAGCGAGTGCCGATACGGAAAACCCTTGGAATGTGGAAACACTATTGAAGTGTCGATAACTGTCTTGTGAACAATTTGTAGCACCCTTAAATCATTTTCCAAACCATGACCGATAAGTATAGTGTTGGCGTGAATTATCTGAAGCAAATCACGCTGAACTTCGCCGAGTGTCTTAACTCGCTTATTCGATTTGGATAAGTCTCTTTCGGTTATTCCAGAGAAACGAGTATTATAGTCGACGATTTCAGCAATGGGACGCACAAAGTGCTCATAAACTAATTGTCCATCAAAGCCAATCACGGTAATCTTCGTTAATGCCAGTCCACATCCACTATAAGACATTTCACAGTCCAATGCGTACCCCTTGGGCTCGTCGGTAAGCTTGCGCGTGTGCACGAAATCGCCATATGGTCCATTAATGCCGGAAACAACGCCGGTCCATACGTGCAAAGGATTAGTCGCACAGCCCGCTGACTGTCTGGAGCGCCCACAACAAGTGTATTGTATATTGTATTTGTTATGCCGGGTATGTACTTTATGCAATTTACCCCAATGAAAAATGCATTTCTTTCGCGTTACATATACGCCAGAGCTTCTGACACGAAAAGGACGTTCACAGCGTACGCATTGCTTAGGCATTGCATCGTTATTCGGCACAAGTTGTCGCACCAACTCAGTTGGGTTCACATTGTTGTCGGTGTTGGTCCTAGCATAGAAAGGAGCTGGAAACTTTTTGTAAATTACAATTTTACCGCTGTGCACAATGCTTTCGGCGGGATAGCCATAGATGTGTAATAGATGTGGTGCGATGATATAAGTACGTAAACTTGCCACTAACTCCGACTGTGAAATCGTTGAAGCGACTACTTGTGTATTTGCGGCAGCATGATGTGCGGTATTTCGTACCACCTGAGGTTTCTTTCCGTAGTATATTTTAGTCGGTTGTTTCTTTGGTTTTTTCTCGTGTCTTTTATCACCGGTCTTTTGCGATTGATGCTGTGCAATTTTGTGTTGCAGTTTCCTCTGTTCTTTCACTATTTGTGACATTTGTAGTGAGATGCATCGGTTTTGCTTTGGCAGAGTTGTTTGCTGTTGTTGCCCAAACATTTGCAATATATTTCCAATAGGGTTGTATTGGTTTCGGTTTGCATTCTGGTGAAACGTTTGCAAGTGCCGATACTGGTCCGAGTGTCTTCTCGGCGTCTCACCGGATTGATGCATTTGATGTGGCATAATGAAATTGTCTGGGAGAATATATTCATGCATAGGTTTGTAATTAGTTGTATTTTGGTGAGGAACTTAAATATAGCTGCATATAGGAGTTGAAATGTGGAAGTATTAGTAGCAATTTATCATCAGCCTAATTTTAGGCTTTATTGTGTTAAATTGTTTAATAAAAATTATCGAAGTCACGCATTTTTTTCAATATTTTGATTTTAATTAAAGATTTTTAACTTTGTTAAGAACCTCATCTGTCAAAATAATTGTCGTCCCAAGCTTAAGCTATTACTTTAGACGGAATTCCAAGAAGCATATTTAGTTTCAATAATTAGAAAGAAAAATTCCTTTTCCAATTTAATAGTTTACTGAACTTTTTTATATGAGGTGTGGAATATTTATTACGGTTGAAAAAAATATATATTTATACTTACGAATTAATTGATGAGAATAAATTTGATGAAATGTATATAAAATTGGTTGTGCTTGATTAAAAGTTGCCATTTTCTCATTTTTCAACTAGTTTATGACCAATTGATACTATTTTTATAGTAAAATATGCGAGATTTTTTGTTGAATTTCCAAAGACTCAAGATTACGAAAAAAATTCCCATGTATCTTCGATCACTACGAAATCGTTATAAATATAATCTGAAAATTTATGGCTTATATACGTGATTTTCTGCAATATCACCTTCGGAATTGCACCTTTACAGGTAGTATAATTGCAATTACCGATCAGGTGAACTATTTTGTGCTCTCTGTCGGACTAAAAGTTGCTTAAGCTACCTGCTGAGACGAAAGTCAGCTAGTTACCTTGAAAAAGGATGTTGAAAGACAAATGCTTTTTATTTTTTAACTTTCTTTATAAAATGTTTTTGTTTTTGTTTACTATTTCTCTTAAAATTTAAATTTACATATATTGAGAAGAAATTGTGTTTGTGTCGCTAAGAATTTATTTTTCTAGAAGAGAAAAAAATTGAATAGCTTCTAAACATAAATAATCAATTTTACTATCAAATAAGTTATTGATAGAAAATTTTTTTTTTATGATTTTGATTTTTCTCTCTCTTTTTTTTACATATATACGCAATTAACTAACATATTGTTATTATACATATTTCAGCTTTAATAGAAAGGCATTTAGGCGCTAGGAGAGATAACCGGTGTAACAATTCACAGATTTCGAGATATTCGGGTATATAACATATTTAATTAGGAGGATTTACACCCATAGACACTGGACTAAGATAGAGGGACGTAGTGTGGACGAAGGATGAAATTAGAAACGAAAAATGAAGCCAACCGCATAAAAAATGAGCAATTTTCAAACCGCTTAGTAGAGGATGGCTGGCGTGATATGCGTGTCGATATATAACAGAATCATTTCGCCGAATCGAAGGCCGGCAGGAGAATTGCAGTAAAATATATCGGCCAAAGCTTTGTATCGGAGTAGTGCAATCGTTGGATGAAGAGTTGGCTTGATTGTGGAAAAGTATTGCCATAACACCACTGGCCACACAGTTTCTGGGAGGAATTAGCGGTATATTGCGTGACCAATTCTATTTTTCGACGTGCCTTCGGACGGTTGGAAGTATTAATTGGTGATGGTGGCGAAATTGGACCAAGGTGAGGTGGAAAACTGTTAGTTCGGGAGTGGGCGATTGATTCTTACAGTAATGTGGCGAAATTTTCCTCAAAGACATCGCTTTGTTTTTCGACGCGCCTGGAGTGTAACAGGAGATCCTAAAATTATTATGAAGTTTTGAAAAAAGCAAGATCCGGTTTTTTGGATGTTCGATTGATAGTAGCATAATTAGCTTTGGAAATGATAGGATTACTACGAGTTCATGTAAAGATGAATCACCTGCTTTCAAAGGCCCTAAATCTTATGTGTGATGTGAATCAAACCAGAAGCTTCTCATGTTTCAAGCTTGTAGTGGTAGTTCATCAATACCCAGAAAAGATTTGTTGAATTTCCTTTAGATATACTTATAGTGCCATCGTTCGTTTATAGGAAGAATACTAGGAAATATAAAGGACAGTGATTGAAACTGTGTATTGATTTCAAAAACAGTAAGGTCAGCGTGTATAAAAAACCTAACGAAAAGGCCAATGTACCTAAGAGGACCGTGTTTTATGGTGGTAAGAGAGTAATCAAGTTCTCTTGGATGGATTCATTTTTGCATGGTAAATTCGACTAGCCTAAAGCTGGATCATTTATATATTATATTATTATAACCAAAACGAAAGAAACCTCCGAGAACACAGAAAGAGAAAGGTACAATTTAGGAAAATAAACCATTGAGAAACATTTTTGATCAAAATTCCCCACGGCTTATATTATTTTTTACCCCACCGGATCCTTAAATCGCACATTAGATTTTAGATTTATTATTAAGATTAGAATTATTACTTTATTTTTAATTTTCCATATTTGCTTGTTGCCCAGTGCTGGATATATATTTAATATACAATACACCACTTTGAAAGTAATTACTTTAAACCACTTTAACATTTTCACGATGTTTCTACACCTCGTGACCCAATACAGACATAGTATCGATGATCTCAGCAGTATGGCTATAAATTGGCAAGTGCCAAATGGGTCGACGAGGAACACTGACGCTGGGTAATATTGAGAAAATTAGGCAAATTTCAAGGCGACTTCTATGGTTTTAATGGAGACAAGTGATAGTATCACAATAATTAGATAATAAATATTAAATTATGATTTTAGTTAATTATTACGGGTATATACACATCGAGTTATAGTATTTCGATCATTTCGCAATATTATCACTATTCCGCTTTAGCAAATAAGATTTAGTGTTAAATGCAGTTTTTTTAATACCTGTATATCTATGCACTTGGAGCGTTGTATTCATGACTTAACGGTGCGATAGACATGCAAAAGAAATCATTAGCGTTTATGTCAATAATTGAACAATAATCACGTATGTCTGGTAAGAAGCGCAAAATATTTAAATTGAATTTAAGAAGAGTGAAAGGTAATTTTTAATTGCGTTTCATATATAATTATTTATAATAATCTATTTCGCACATTTAAATAGATTGCCAATAGTAGTCTTTTACGTTATTCTGATAGCAAATTTCTAAAAAACGCTTTTGCCTTTGAGGGTATATTGACACTAACAGTGTCACTTAAAATGGAATCATTTGAATTTATTTTAAAATGCGATTGGGGTGGTTTTTTTTCCCACTAAACTCGTCAGTTCTTCTTCGCATTGACACATCAGAAGATACCATTCATTTATACAACGGATAAATATACCCTCTCAACCGAACAAATTTCTAGTAGACATCAATTTAATTATGCCTGAACAGAGGTTGTATATTAAGCTTCCGCCACGAATTTTCACACCCACAATGAAACGTCTGGAGACCTTTATAAAAGCTACATATAATAAGTGCGATGGTTGATGAGGTTCGTTGTTCTGTTTACGTCGCACTATCCCATAAGTGCGATTGAACCACCGTTCTCAAGAATTTCATAGCACTCTGGTCGTATGGTAGTCGCGATACAAGGTACCGCTGCCACATAATGTAAGAATGTTATTATCCGACTGTTCAATCACACTCATGTATAGCAACTATGCAAGATCAAAAATCAAGATAAAGATCTTTTTATACCCTCGTCATATGAAAATGTACCTGGGTGAAGAGGTATTATAAGCTTCGGTGAGCCAGATATAGTTTTTTTCTTTTTCCTTGTTTATTTAAGATAATTTGAGGGAATTCGGAAAGACAAACTATCACCCATATATCAAATAGATATTTACTGTATATTTTTACCACATTACTTTTTTAACTATTTGCGCCACCATTGGAGACCCCAGCGTTCGTGACATTTCACACAGCGGCATGCTGAACGAACACATATACGCACCCAATGAGCGTTTATACGATTGCTTGTCACTTCAATTGTCGCACACTCGCCGATGTCCGTATCCAAGTGGCCAGGTTATGCGAAGGCATTGCGTGAAATTAATCGACACACGCGTGATAATATTAAAGAGAACCGTGATAACTGGGACAATCGCAATCAGGCGAATTAACCATGGCAAATCATGGAGATTTATGGGTAACAATTTTAGACAAATATTGATGGCAGGTTGCAACAAAGCCCATAGATGCACACTTTGTTGAGTTTTTACCAAAACATTTTCGAAAAAGTACATTTTTAGTTAAAAAATTTTTCCCAGCTCATTTCGAACGCTTTTGGCAGTCCCTTGCCTGACATAAACTTTTTCTGAAAGCAGCGTAGCAGTTGGATGTGTTAGTTAATCGCCGCAGGACTTCCATATATACCTACTATTGAAGCGTTGCGGAGCTTCTCTGGAACACATGCATTACGACAACATACACGCAGCAGACATCGAAATGGAGATTCCGCGCACGCGAATCATGACCGGGGCTTTTTTTCGTCGTATGCCTTCTTGCTGCAGGTGGCGGATGCGAAAGAGAGGATTCTTACGATAACAGTATTGAGGCTTTAAGTACCAGGAATTGCGGTCGCAAAAGTACAACAAAGTTCTCCCAATCCAAGACCACGAATACATTGTCGTTATGCCGTCAAACGTTTGATGATTTGGCGTATTCGATGAAACTGGGATGTAATAGGCAGATTTATAAGCAGAAAAGGCGTGGAACAAAGCTATTGACTTTATCTTTCATTTTCGGATTGGCTTCCTTTAATATTAATATATTTGTAATTTAGGCTGTAGTCACAATGTATGCAAATATTTAATAATTCATAAGAACAATAGAATAAGATTTGTTACTTTGAATTTTTAAATTCTCGGTTCGAAAAAAAGGTTTGATCTTTGATAAATTTTCTTTCGACTGAAATAGTGCATCTTGTCAAAATAATTTATGAATATTAGAAGAGAAATTGAACGAATGACAAAACGACCTTGAAGTTATTCTCCTTGCTTTTCGATTCTAAGCATATCTACATTATAATTTTGAAGATAAAATTTGTGGAAGTTAATAGTATATGTAATATTTTTATGGTCCTCTAGACCATTATTTTGGAATATATTTTGAAGGTTAGAAGCTTGCTGAATAAGTAGTGCATGACTCCAGCTCATGAATTCCTTTTAAAGTTTCGGAGTTTAACAGAGTTTACACTAAAAATTTCATCTAGCACAAAACTTATACATTAGTATTACACATTTTAAACTAACTCGATAGAATAGAGTTTAAACTAATTATGATAACTAGGGTTTGAAAATAACTGCAGTAACCTCGAACATCATCCCTAAAACCGCCCAAGGATCGGTATCTTAGGGTGAACTATGTGCGGCCGATTGAACTTTGAAAATTATATAAACATATACAGACTCGCCTAGCTCGCACCAAATCGACATTACTTAATCTATTATATAATTATTTTAATCTATTATATATGGAAAAAAACTTCCTTATGTGCTTTCAGAAATTGGAATTTTATTTGATGCACTTTTTTAATCTATCGTTTATTATATCGATAAAAATTTTTATGTGTCTAACTAATTGAATTATTGATGACGATGATACGTTATTATCGATATTTTAGCTACTAATGGTTCGATTTAAAACATTTTATTGTATCGAGTTATTAATATTTAGTTCGATACAAATTTAGGATTTCGGTTAAGAAGCACTTTTTTTTATTCTATCGATTATTAATTTATCGACAAAACGTTTTTGTTGTATTTTAGAAACTTGAAACTTCAGTTTGTTGGCAATGTTTTTTAAAAATAGTTTGATATTTTGAAT